GTCGGACACAGCACATATGGAACTTGTTCAGCTTCCTCTCCTGTGCACAAAGGGTCCAGGACTCACTGCAGTACAGAAGTGTGCACAGGACACAGGCTCTATAGACCTGGATCTTGGTATATGCCACAAGCTTCTTATTAAGCCATACTCTCTTTGTGAGGCTAGAGAACATGGTGCTATAGCTGCTTTGCCAACACATTTATCCAGCTCGACATCTAAGTAGAGAGTGTCAGAGATCATTGAACCAAGGTACACAAATTTATGAACAACTTCCAATTCTTGTGTGGAGATGCTAATAGAGGGAAGTGAGTCCCTCTATTAGCATCTCATGACTTGTGTTTTCTTCAGGCTGATTGTTAATCCAAAGTCTTCGCAGGCCTTGCTAAAATGAATCATGAGTTGTTGGAGGTCTTCAGCAGAATGGGCAACAACAGCTGCATCATCGGCGAAGAGGAAGTCCTGCATGCATTTCAGCTGGACTTTGGTCTTTGCTCTCCATCTAGAGAAATTAAAGAGCTTTCCATCTGATCTAGTCCAGAGATAGACACTTTCTGTTGCAGTTCCAAAGGCATGATTCAGCATGACAGCAAAAAAGATCCTGAACAGGGTCAGAGCGAGGACACAGCCCTGTTTCACATCGCTTCGGATGTCAAACTGATCTGATGTTGACCCATCAAAAACTACAGTGCCCTTCATTTCCTCATGAAAGAACCTGATGATGTTAAGGAGTTGAGGTGGACATCCAATCTTGGGAAGTATTTTAAAAAGGCCGTCCCTGTAAGGTCTTTGTAAGATCTATGAAGGCCACAAAGAGTGGCTGTCATTGTTCTTTACATTTCTCTTGTAACTGTCTGAGGGAAAATACCATGTCAATGGTGGATCTATTAGCTCGAAATCCACTCTGTGATTCTGGATAGACTCTGTCTGCAAGCACCTGGAGTCTCTTCAGCACAACATGGGCAAGCAGCTTTCCTACAGCGCTGAGAAGAGAGATGCCATGGTAGTTACTGCAGTTGCCCCTGTCTCCTTTGTTCTTATACAATGTGACAATGTTTGCATCCTTCACGTCCTGTGGTTCTTCACCTTCCCTCCAGCAAAGACAAAAGATTTCATACAGCTTGGT